GTCCTCCTGAAGGTCTCTCTGTTCCTCTGCAACAGTGGTTCTCACGCTTCTGTGACCCTTTAATACAGTCCCTCATGTTGTGGTGACCCCAACCATAAAATTATTCCATTGCTACTTCATAACTGTAATTTTGCTACTGCTATGAATCACAATGTAAATATCTGATATGCTATCTCCAAGGGGGTTGTGGCCCACCAGTTGAGAACCACTTTTCTAGAGGTTGGCTGGGGGATTCTCCACACTGCACATCTCCAGCCACACACAGAGGGACAATTGCAGGACCAGACTGGGTGACATACAACAGGATAGCCTGCTCCTGAGCAAGGCGACAGTGTGCCCGCCTGGGGTAGGGGTTGGGGTGGGGGATAAAATGGTACCAGGCAAACGGGCAGTGCTGTATGCTTGCTTTCAAGAAAGCCTGTTACTATGGAGCCCAGGTGGCAGGGCTGAGGACAGTGCTGACCAGCAATGACCCCAGGGTGCCAGTGGCAGTTTGGGTCCCTGTGGAGCTGGTCCCATGCTCTCTCCAGTATGTTCTCATCTCTGCATACCCCACTTTTACAATGTAATCAATAAAATGCACTAAATTAAGTGAGCAGAAGAATTGCACTATGATTCAGGGCAGAGCGGTGGAGAGGCTGAGAAACTGAAGCTGAGAACCAGCTCAGCCAGAGCCTAGCTCAGCTAAGAGCTGTCTCACCATACGGAGACATGAAATCAGCTAGTTGTAACATTGTTTCAGACAGATTTCTGCCTGGCACCCTTCATAGACCCTGGCTCGCTGACCACAATAAATGGAAATGGAGACAGCTTAAAGCTGTTCAGCCATGACGGCTGGAGCAGATGCAGGCTGCAGAGGTTGGATCCAGGTCCCTAAACAAAAGCTATCTCCCTCTATGCCCAAGGCCCCTTCTCTCTTTCCTTTTTTCATTCAACAAATCTTTACTAATTTTTTTTCTGTGTACCAATAACATTTGGCACTCCAGAGTAATAGAGGACAAGACATATTGCCTGCCCTAAGGGAGTGTCAGCCTGGTAGAGATGATTCCAAAACAGTGTGATTGGTACCGACATGCCACATCACTATAGACAAGCATCTTGGGGAGGTTCAGGGATGGCTTTTCAAAATTGGATGTGTCCATGAAGGGTTTGAAGTATGAACAGACATTTTTAAGGTCAAGCAAGATCAATGAGGCACAGGGGCATGAGAAGATGAGAGTAAGGGAAACAGATGTTAGTAGAGAGGCCAGTCTATAGTCATTGGCCACACCCTATGTTGCTGTGAGCAGCTGTCAGATGCTCGCATCCATCATTCTCCTTAGAGTGTTCTGTAGGTGCAGAATGGATTTTAAGCAGTGCGGCCTGGAAAACAGGCAGTCATCAGAGACGTCACCGTAGACATCCTGGAGAGTGACGCTCAAGGTCCCTCTAGAGAAAAGAGGCATGGCACTTGTCATACAATTAGACCTAGAAAAGGGAGAGCTGCAGATGGCTGCCTCCTAGGCCTGGGAGTGTACTGGCCCAAGAGGCAGAGAGAGGTGTGCAGGTCCCCAAGGTTTAGCTATGATACAGAACAAAGTGCAAAAGCGACTCAGACTGAGCGTCCAACTGCTTAAATGAAGTCTCCATGTCATGGGATAGTCTATAGCTACTGGCAAAAGGAAGGGGGAACCTGGGTACAGCTCAGGGGTAGAAACAATGCTTTACCGTGCACCAGGTCTTGGTTCACCCGTAGCACAGAGGAGAAAGAGGAGGATGTGGGGGAGGAGGGAGATGAGGGGGAAGACGTGAGAAGCTGTGGGTACTGATAAGAAAGGGAATTCATGACTCCATATCTGTAAGATGTATGGACATCTGCATCCACAAGTGTGGGTGTGCATGTCTTCACAAACACTGATAAAGCGATGCAGTATTAGTGGACATCAAAGGGGAGCTCATAGGAGTCCTCTGTCTCCAGCACATGCACTTGGGTGCTACTAAGATTTCTGTAAGTGTGTATAATTGTGACAGGGTCCTTGCAGAACTGTGTCCCAGGAGCAGGGGACAGCGCATGGGAAGGCTCTGAGGCTCACATCAGCCCGGCTGATCAAAGGACAGAAAGTAGTCTAGAGCAGAGTGTGGTGAGGAGGGGAGGTGGCCGGAGATGACATCTCCATCTTGGGTAGAAGGTCAGGTCACACAAGGCCTATAAGGCCATAGCAACAATATTGAGTTTACCCTGAGTAAGATGTGGCCCACAAAAAGAATTCTGTTATGTGATTTATGTTTTAAAAAGAAAAGAGCATTCTAAGTTAGGTTTAAGCCCAGCCCACAGGAGTATCATGAATTTGAGGTTAGCCTGGACTATAGCAAAATGATCCATTACACAACGCGCGCGCGCACGCGCGCGCACACACACACACACACATACACAGGAGAAATGGCTCAATAGTTAAGAGCACTGACTGGTCTTCCAGAAGACCCAGGTTCAGTTCCCAGCCCCCACATGGTAGCTCACAATTGTCTGTAACTCCAGTCCCATGGGATCCCATGACCTCTTCTTATGACCTCTTTAGGCACCAGGCACACATATGGTATGCAGACATACACGTGAGCAAAACACCCATACATATAAAATAAATAAACAAAAATGTAAAAGTCATTCTGACACTGGGGTGTGACTTACAGATGAGTATCCACTCAGCATGCATGAGTCTTGAGACCACACCCACCATAATTAAGTAAATAAGTAATAACCTCACCCCCAGTGACACAATCCCTCCAACAAGGCCACTTCTACTCCAACAAGGCCACACCTCCTAATAGTGTCACTCACTGATGACCAAGCATTCAAACACATGAGTCTATGGGGACCATTCCTATTCAAACCATGGTGGCCTACTTATTACCTAAGTAATAAGACCATGGTGGCCACCAAGAGGCTCAGTAGCTGATAATTTGTCACAGAAACATAAAAAGGTCTGGAACAGAGGTTAAGGTAGGGAGGGAAATGCTAGTCTGAACTCATTCAGGGTTCGTGGAGTAGGGGCCCCAAGCTTCACACAATCCCCTGGATCTACCTTGGCAGCAGAGGATCCAGATGTCTGTGAACTAAGTTCAATAGAAGCAGGAAGATCAGGAGTTCAAAGCCAGCCTGCTCTACACAAGACCCCATCCCGAGAGACAAACAGCAGGCAGAAAGATGAAGCTGGGGTAAGAGCACTTGCCTCCAAGCCCGAAGACCTGAGTTCAAGCCTCATGACACACGTGATGGAAAAAGAGACCAACTCCCACAGATTACTCTGACATGCAGACATGCGCTGTGGTACACGTGTGCACGCATACATGCACACACAATAAATTAAGTGTAAATATTTTTTAAAGAAAAAAAACAAGGTTAAGAGCCAGGTTACACTCCAACCTCCCAAATGTGTGACTATACTGTGCCCGTGTCCTGTCCTGTGAGAGGGGTAGCGTGACTCTGTGTGAAGAACGGGGCAGCGAGGCCCACTGGTGTGTGCTGGGGGAGATTCTGTTACCTTAGCAGACCAGAAGGACTCCAGTGAGGCCCACTGGTGTGTGCTGGGGGGGAGATTCTGTTACCTTAGCAGACCAGAAGGACTCCAGTGAGGCCCACTGGTGTGTGTTGGGGGCAGATTCTGTTACCTTAGCAGACCGGAAGGACTCCAGGAAGGAGGAAGCTGGCGTGGCCACCAGAGTCTGGAAGAAGAATATGCTTGGGGAGAGAGAGAGAGAACTCGCGGGGGCAGACTCCAGCAGAGGAATGGCTGAGAGAAAGACATTCGTCTCTATGCCTTGGGGTCCTGTTTGAAGTGGAGAATCAAGTGCAGAGGGAAGATGGAGAGCATATAGCTTGACCCAAGTGTACCTGGGTCTCAGGGGGCAGCTGGGAAAGCCATTCAGCTGCCACGAACTCACCCTGCCAGCCAGAGGAAAAGCCAGAGCCTTTGAGAGGCTGTGAGGACACTTCTATCACCAGGTGACAAAGCCTGCCACACAGCCTCCTCATAAACATTTAATATATGCCACCAGTCGGTCCTCTGCATGGCCACCAAGCCCTAAAAGTCAAACTGTACCACCAGTTAAAACAGATGATGTTTGCTCTTAGGGGCCCTCGGTGCCCATAAAGAAAACAAGAGAAGCCAGAGCCCCATGGAGGAACAGAGTCAACATGCCCACACTGTTTAATTTCCACAGGGCACCACATGGACATACCCATGCAGGTGCCCTGTAGTACAACCACAGGCACACATGGCGCCTACATGTTCACACTGAATGTATTTGCAGAACTCACTCACCATGCTAAGGAAGGCAGGCACACAAAGTCCTGCTCAAGCAAGCTCACACTGGATTCAAGGTCCTATCCTGAAAGCCCAGCTCTACCTGCCCTTTGATCTGAAGTTTTGGTGATGCAGTCCCTCTGTGATGGTTCCCCATCATCAGTAGCAGTGAGAGGAGCAGACCCTTCATCGTGCCTTGGCTGACAGAGATGGACACCGGTGATTAGTAACAAATCCTCCAGCAGCCAGCAGCCCCCTTTGTGAAAAATGTTGGTTCACCACAGTGATTCCTAGTGATCTGTGGTTGAAGACAGGTCCTATTGGCTCAACCAAGTAAAGTACCTCAGGGTTGGTCATGTGTGCAAACAGGACATGGTTCCAGCAATCCCTGAAGTGGGACACTCACTCAGCTGAGAGAATTGGCTCCTTCCTAACTGAGGAACACTGAGTTTCTTGTCCCTTGTCCCTCAGTCACCCCAGGGCTGCTTGCTGGAGCTTTCCAAGGAAATGGCAGGTCCGTAGCTTATGATCATCACCCAGCCAAGGCAGCCCTCTTTCACTGGCCTCCCTCCACTTGGTCATACCCAGAGACAAACAGTGCTGTGGAACAAGACATTCGCCCTCTGGAAGCTTCATGGCTACAACAGAGACTCACTCCCCAGACTCTGACAAGCCACCGACCAGGGCAGGTCCCCAGGGAGGGCAGAGCTAAGTACTTACCTTTCTCTGAAGCTGGGGCCAGGTCAATGAAGCTGCGGCATTTCTCACCTTGGGAAAGAAGAGAAGGGTTTCAGAATGGGAGGACACAGCTTCACAATCTGCCTGACCCCTTGGCATCTGGGAGGTAGCACCACCCCTAACCTGACCTGTGAGGTAGTACTTTAACCAGGATTCCAAGTAGTACTGTGTGTGCCAGGAGCTTGGGTGGGAACCACCAGCTTCACAACCTGGCTAAGCCAAGGCTGAGCTCCTCTGCCTCCTGCCCTGCACACACACACACACACACACACACACACACACACACACACACACACACACACACCTTTGATAACATCCCATAGAAGAGAGTTCAAATTCCCACTGTGGACCCAGGAAGGCTTCCACGGGCCTATCCAGGCTCCTCTCCACACCCCAGTTCCTCTTGTCTGTGTAGAGCCTCCACAGTTCTCAAAGTTCCCTGAAGGACTCTGGATCCCAAGCTTCCTGGCAGCCACATGACAATGACAAGGCCCAGAAACCGTGGTGGTAGATGAGGCTGAGGAAGACAGCCTGAGCACAGGGGGTCCTGAAAGTCCTTCCAAGGAGTTGTGCCTACTCTGATTTGTGTCACTCCTGCCCACGATCCATCAGGCACCCTCGGGTGGACTGCATGCTGGTACTCAGGCATGCCTGTTTCTATCTTCTGCTCTGCACTGAGACGCCAGACCCTCCCTTTAGAGATGGAAACCGCAAAGTTCTGAGATGCCAAGCCACCAGCCTGGGTTGGATGGCAAAACAGTGCCGCTCAGATTATGATCAACAATATAAAGAGAGATGTGTTGACCGGCAAGATCATTCTGGAACGGAGCGATAAGGAGAGGGGGGCTGAGGGGCTGACTAGTGGCAGAGCAACAAGCACCCATAAGGACCAGGGCTCAAGCTCAGCCACACCTCCCCTCAAGAAAGAAGATGGAATTTTTTGTTAGATTTTGAATAAATTGTTTTAAACTTCCTTTAATGATATATTATTTTCCCAAAAGCTGAAGAGGTAAGTGGGGTATTCAAATTCAGACCAGACCAGCACACTGATTGGATCTTGGATTCTTTGCCTTCATGGCCTCATCCCCACACAGAAAAGAAAACTAATGTCAAAAATGATATTTCAGCCAGGTGTAGTGGCAGAGACCTGTAATCCCAGCATCTGGGCGGCTGAGCTACGAGGAAGATCATGAATCTGAAGACAGTCCAAACTTGGTAGTGAGACCCTGTCTGTCCTAGTTAGGGTTCATATAGCTGTGATAGCACCATGATCAAAAACAGCTTGGGGTGGAAAGCGTTTATTTCATTTACACTTCCATGTAACAGTTCGTCATCAAAAGCAGTCAGGGCAGGAACTCAAGCAGGGCAGGAGCCTGGAGGCAGGAGCTGATGGAGAGGTCATGGAGGGGTGCTGCTTACTGACTTGTTTCCCAAGGCTTGGTCAGCCCGCCTTCTTATAGAACCCAGGACCAGCCGTCCAGGGATGGCCCCCCACAATGGGCTAAGCCCTCCCTCACTGATCATTGTAAGAGTGAGCCCCACAAAACTCTTCACTCCCATAAGGGGGGGCTGGAGAGATGGCTCAGAGGTTAAGAGCACTGACTGCTCTTCCAGAGGTCATGAGTTCTCCAGCCAGCCACCACCGCCTCCCGGCCCTCGTGGACTGCCGTGGAAGAGTTTTGTGGGGCTCACCCTACAAAATGGCCTACAGACAGATTTGATTGCACCCTCAAATGACTCTAGCTTGGATCTAGTTGACAACAAACTAGCCAGCACACTGTCCAAAAAAATTATATTTTACAACCTCATTGGTATAAAGATGAATGTGTTAGGTGTAAAGCATTTTGCCCATTTAAAAGAAATGAAAACATCTGCATTGGCCTGTGGGAATATAGCAGCCCTTGACTTTCCCCTGGACCTGAAGAGGGCAGGCTCCCAGCACCAGCTCTGGCTCCAACTCCCACCAAGCCTAGCTCCAGGTAGTATTTAAGGTTTATGTGCCAGGGCTTTACTGTCTCTTCCCTTTAACAGTGCTTTGCTTGGATTATAATTCACATGGTCCAGGATTCACTGTTCTAAGGCAAGTCAATGATTTTCCATGTATCCCCAGTATTATCACAAGTCTTGGTGACAATCCCTACGATCAATTTTCCACATTGTAATGGTCCCCAAAAGAAACCCTGTACATATTAGCAGTCCATCCTCCCTTCTTCCAGCCCTCCCAGCCCTAGGCTATGACTAATCTATTTTCTGTCTCTAAGTTTGCTTAGTGTAGAATTTCACAGAAATGGCATCTTCCAGTCTTCTATGACTGACTTCTCTCTCTTAGCATCATGGTTCTAAGGTGTCTGAGGTGTACGGTGTATAGGCACTACATTGATCAGAATTATATCCCTTTGTTTTGCTTTCTGCAGCTCCAGTTATCCATGGTCAACCACAGTCTCAAAGTAATAAATGGAAAATTCTACAAATGAAAAACTCAGATGTTTTTGTCACTCTCCATTCACAGCAGCATGGTGCTTCCCACACTCATTCTAAACCCCACCCCTTTGAGCAATAAATCCACACTGTCTATAAAACCTCTTGTCAGTCCCTCAGTAGCCTCTTTGTTATCTAATAAACTTCAACAGTATCACAATGCTTGTATCTGAGTAACCCTTATTTTACGTAATGAAAGTCCCAAGTGTAAGAATAATGGTGCGGTAAACAGGCCGGCTTCTGGGCCTGTGTTCCAGTGCCTGCAGATCGCCTGGGAACTGCACAGAGCTTCCAATCCCGGCGGGAGCCAAGCACCCCAGACTCCAGGTCTTCTCTCCCACCAACGAGACCAGGAAACCAGAGGAGCCAGGGAGTCCAGGGAAGCAGCTGTTCTGGAGGCAGCATCAGGTACAACAGGAACCAGCATAGGGTCCAGGGGACCAGGTAGGAGGCTAAGCGCCCCAGATTCCTGTTCTTCTTCTCCACCCACGGGACCAGAACGAGGACAAGGAATAGAAGAACCACCAGATTATTGGACTTGCTAGCACCCATCAAAAGGGAACTCTGGTCCCCTAACCACCAGACCAGTAAGGGGCTCTTTCTGCACCCACTAGAAGAAGAGATGGGAAAGAGACAATAAAAAAACACACTCAGCAACAGAAAAACAAATATGACACCACCAGATTCTAGAGACTCCACACCGGCAAGACTCCAACATTCCAATGCGAACGAAGCAGAAGAGAATGACCTTAAAACCACTTTCATGAAAATGATAGAGGCCCTAAAAGAGGATATAGGAAAATCCCTCAAAGAAATGGAAGAAAAAACAAACCAAAAAAAGGCAGGAAATGGAAGAAGAAATACAGCAAAAAATGCAAGAAACAGAAGAAGAACAAACCAAAAAAATTCATAAAAGGCAACAAATGGACGAAAAGATAGACTGAAAATTGCAAGAAGCAATGCAAACACTGCAAGGGTTGAAAACTGAAACAGAGACAATAAAAAAACACAATCTGAAGAAAGGCAGAAAATAGAAAAGCTGGGCAAACAGTCAGGTACTACCGATACAAGCATTACCAACAGAATAGAAGAGATGGAAGAGAGAATCTCAAGTGTTGAAGATACACTAGGAGAAATGGATTCATCAACCAAAGAAAACCTTAAGTCCAACAAATCCTTACCACAAAACATCCAGGAAATATGGGACACCATGAAAAGACCAAACCTAAGAATAATAGAAGAAGGAGAAGAAAATCACCTCAAAGGGGCAGAAGATATATTCAACAAAATCATAGAAGAAAACTTTCCCAACCTTAAGAAAGACATGCCAATGAAGGTACAAGAAGCTTACAGAACACCAAATAGAGTGGACCACAAAAAAAAATCCCCTCGCCACATAATAATCAAGACCCCAAATATACAGAATAAAGAAAGAATATTAAGAGCAGCTAAGGAAAAAGGTCAAGTAACATATAAAGGCAGATCTATCAGAATTACACCTGACTTCTCCATGGAAACTCTGAAAGCCAGAAGGTCCTGGATAGATATTCTACCAACACTAAGAGACCATGGATGCCAGCCCAGACTACTATACCCAGCAAAGCTTTCAATCACTATAGATGGAGAAAACAAGATATTCCATGACAAAACTAGATTCAAGCAATACGTATCCACTAACCCAGCCCTACAGAAAATTTTGGAAGGAAAACTCCAACCCAAGGAAGCTAACTGCAACCAGAAAAGCATAGGCATTAGAGAATCCCTCTCTACCAACAGCCAAAAGAACAAAGGGGTGAAATTCCACACATAATTCCAACAACAACAACCACTGCAAATCGAAGGATGAGCAATCAATGGTCATTAATATCCCTCAACATTAATGGCATTAACTCACCCATAAAAAGACACAGACTAGCAGAATGGATTTGAAGACAGAACCCTTCCTTCTGCTGCATACAAGAAACACACCTCACCCTCAAAGACAGACATTACCTGAGAGTTAAAGGTTGGGAAAAAATTTTCAATCAAATGGACCCAAGAAACAAGCAGGGGTAGCAATCCTAATATCTAACAAACTAGACTTTAAAATAAAATCAATCAAAAGAGATGAAGGAGGTCATTGCATACTCATCACAGGTGAAACCCACCAAGATGAAGTGTCTATCCTGAATATCTATGCCCCAAATACAAAGGCATCCACATTCGTAAAAGAAACATTATTAGAACTTAAATCACATCTAAAGCCCCACACAGTTATAGTGGGAGATTTCAACACACCACTCTCACCACTAGACAGGAATACCAGACAGAAACTCAACAAAGAAGCAAAGGGTCTAATAGAAGTAATGACCCAACTGGGATTAACAGACATCTATAGAACATTTCATCCACATAAAAGAGAATATACCTTCTTCTCACCACCACATGGAACCTTCTCAAAAAACGACCACAAACTTGGCAACATATCAAACCTCAGCAGCTACAAAAAATTGGAATAACTCCATGCATCTTATCAGACCACCACGCTTTAAAATTAGAATTCAACAACAACA